AGGCAAGTCTGCCAATGCTTCCCACAAGTGAACCACGTTGCTTCAGCTTTGGTGAGCTTGCCTGTGACTGGTCAATGAGCCAAAGTACTGATTTAACGACGGGTACCCTATTGTTCGTTAAACCCTTAGCACCAAGTTTGCTGATTGGAAGGCAGCCTTTATAGGAGTGTGAAATACGCCGAATAAATTGTAGCATGCCACAAAGGATGTGTACAGATTACAGCAAAGCGAGTGAAGTCACATTACCAGATGCTTACCCTCTTTCTTGTATGGGCAACATAGTGGACTTTGTGAAAGGCCATTTGTTTCTAAATTAGACCTCCTTGAAGGTTACTGTCAAGTGCCTTTAACAGATAAAGCTAAGGAGATTTCTGCCTTTGTATTTAAAGGTCATTTTCAGTATACTGTGATCGTTTTGGAATGAGGAACTTGCCTGCCTCATTCCAGAAACTGATCCATCAGGCTGTTAAAGGACTGGAAGGCAGGGAGGCTTACCTGGATGATTTGGTTGTGGTTTATGATATGTAGGGTCAACAAGTGTCCCATCTAAAAGATCAGTTTGAGAGGTTCACAACATACAGGTTAATTGTCAATCTTAGTAAGTCGGCTTTACACACACATTTAAGTCGGCTTTTGGCCATTCTACCATAACTTTCCTAGACCTTGAAGTAGGCAGTGGTAAAGCGGTCTTTGCCCTTGAACCTTTCGATATGTTCTCATCCTCGTCGCAGCATGTGGTTCTAGTTTCCAGTGACCACAGCCCATTGACCTACTTCAGCTCTGAGAAATAAGAATACTTGTATCATTCCTGTGTTTTGTGCCTGCACCCCTACAACATATCAATCCATCAAATCACTGGCAAGGATAACGTTACTGCAGACTCTCTCCATGGCTTGATTGTTAGGATGCATTATTTTACGTATTGTTCACTAGGTAGAGTATATATAGCTAGCTGTTTTGTTTATCCATATGGTCCAATGGTAAATAATTTATATGAGGGGGACATATTGTTTCCGTTTGCAAGTGTCTTAGACCTAACTTAGCCCTACTGTCTACTGTCTCATTCTAGGGTTAGTCCTTAGTATTAAAATCTCTCTTCGGGTTGAGCATGGCCTACTGGATTGGATGGTTGAAAGGAACAGACGTCCAATTAGTTATCTTCGGTGCCATGGTGGCTCACCACCCATTGAGGGATGCCTTGCCTGGCTATTAGGAATAAGGAATTTATTTCTTTGCGTAGTTTACAATATTTAATTACAATTTTGATTTGCTAAGTACAAAGAAAGCCATTATCATGCCGGGGCATTTGAGGCAGACCCTTTTTTGGGGTGGGAGTGCGTCATGCGAAGAATGCGTAACAAATTATTCGACGTATGTCACATGCCCATGTAGGCATGTCCTCCCGACCAGTAAACCAGCAATTAGGTGCATAGCAGTCGGGGCCCCACTGCTATGTTAATTGCTGGTTCATCAATGAACGCCTACAAACTCCGTGAAGCGATGTCTTCAACTTGTGCAGCAAAAAAAAGTAGGCTTTCATTACCTCTGGTGGAAAACTGTTCTGACATTTGCTCTTGCTTGTATATACCATACTGTAAAGCATCCCTGTACATAGTGTAAATACACATAGAGTTGCCGAAGGAATACACTGATTTTTCTCTGCTGCCCTGCCTAGATGAGCTGCTGCTGACTTAATTACGAACAGGAGAGAAAAGCCCCACAAGATATCAGCTGTATTCTTATTAAGTTAATAAAGGAGAAATAGGGAAAGAAAACGATAATAAAGAGAACAAAAAGAAACACTATAGAGAAATGAACCTGCATTTAAAAAGATAAAACTATACGAATGAGTAGGCATGCAAAGGCCATCAAATATTAAACAGTCTTAATATAATGATGAAAGGAATGCAGGAACCCGACAAATGTAGGCAAACCACTCGTGTTACGAAGCCTGGAAATAAGCCATACTTTTGGCAGAAACTAATTGGCGTTCTGTATATCTTTGTAGAGGAAGACCTGCAGCTGTGCTTGTGTCATCGTGTAGGATGCAGTGATCAAGGCAATCATGCATTTTACACAGTATTAATTTACTGACTAAAAAAAATTGTTTTAACACAAACGGCGGCATCATACAATAAAATTATACAGAGGACAAGAGACTAGCACATATGACTAATACAAAGTACCAACAAGAAACTAGCTTGCGAGTGCAGATATCAGTATAGAACCCGAAAGAATGTTCAATGATATAGATTATATTGCATTATATATATATATATATATATATATATATATATATATATATATATATATATATATATATATATATATATATATATATATATATATATTTATATATGCAAGGAATTCGCAAGAGCAGGCGAAATATACACAAACACTGATCTCTGGCTGAAGGAGACTCGAACCTACGAACCTTGGAACAAGGTACGCAGTGCTATACTATTCTCACCACACTGGACAATACCTTGGCGTCCAGCTTGCGCCAGACGTTGATCCAAGGCAGTTTTTGTATATTTCGCCTGCTCTTGCGAATTCCTTGCATTGTTAAAATCTCTAGTAAGGCTGACGCATGCAGGGGATGAGATGAAAAGCTGTAAGCCTTCTCCCTGAAAGCTGGCTGCTTTGGATCAACGTCTAGCGCAAGCTGGACGCCAAGGTATTGTCCAGTGTGGTGAGAATGGTATAGCACTGCTTACCTTGTTCCAAGGTTCATAGGTTCGAGTCTCCTTCAGCCAGAGATCAGTGTTTATATATATATATATATATATATATATATATATATATATTATATATATATATATATATATAATATATATATATGCAAAACAACCACTGTGAAAGAATAGAGAACTTCCAAGCGCTTTCGTGACTACTCACATTATCAAGGAACAATGAAAGTAGAGCATCAAAGGAAGGTATATAAAGGGTCTACCCCACACTTCATTATCAGATCCCACAACAAAGGAACACCTGACACGCGACTCATAAGAAAAGGAACACTGCAGCAGGCCCGCCGGCCCAACTAGACAGGTCCTTCACACAACCCACCAACAAACTATTCTACCCAAGAAATAAGAATTTTAAAAATTACTATTTGTCCAATGTATGATTAAATTCTTCCCAAATTCTATTAATTATAAATGGATCTAATTTATATAAACCAAAGGAAATATTCATATTATTGTCAAAACTGCTTTTTATGAAACAAGATTCATTTATATTCCTCTCGACCATGGACTTACTTGATACAACTTCTCAACTTTTTGAAAACGAATTGGATGGTTAAAATCTCTCACTTGAATAAATAGAGCATTGGAATCTTGTCCAGTTCTAATGCTATATTTATGTTGTTTTAATCTTAGTTCGAGATTTTTACCAGTTTGACCGTAATAAACTTTATCACAAATTTTACAAGGAATCTTATAGACACATCCATCAGCATTTTGGGGGGAATTCTTTATTAAAAGTTTTTTTTACTGTATCAAGATTTTTGAATACAACTTTAATATTAAAAGTATTAAGAAGAGAAGGCATATCAACCAAGTTTTCATGGTAAGGGAGAACCAACATATTTTTAGTTGAATAAGGCTGGTTGTCCCTTTTTGGATTGTAAAAAGTATTTCTAGCTACTTTAAAAGATTTATAAATTACGTTTCATGGGTATTTCAAATCATTACCTATTTCATAAATTTTGGATATTTCCTCATCTATGAACTCAGGACTACAAATTCGTAAAGCTCTCAAAAACATTGATGAGAAAACAGACAGTTTAACTCTATCTTGATGCAAAGAATAATAGTGGACATAGGAACAGTTATTTGTAGGTTTTCTGTAAATTTTAAATTTGAATTCATTATTACCCTTAATAATTAAAACATCTAGAAAAGGCAATGAGATATTTATTGTTTCTTGATAATGTCACGAAAGCGCTTGGAATTTCTCTATTCTTTCACAGTGGTTGTTTTGCATATTCTGAAATCACCTGTTTACTGTGATCTTATTGCATATATATATATATATATATATAATATATATATATATATATATATATATAATATATATATATATCATATTAATTCAGGCTACAGACACGCCAGTTGACCCACAAGCCAGTAATTGCAGCAGAGGAAGCACTGAACATAGACTGATATAATCCCGCCTCACACTGCCCAAGCTGAGCTCAGACCAGGAAGTGCTCTTAAGAAGCCTACTTCTGCTCTTCTTCTCCTTCCGGAGGCAGGATGCCGGTGTTAGCTGTGGTTCTTGCTTACAATTTATATGGATATAAAGACACACAGTGTAGAACAAGCTTTTATTAGGACAACGTTTCGCTTAGAATAGAAAATTATTAAGTCATTACTTGAAGCTCTTCACAGAACTATACCTGTACCTGTCGACATGAAGCTTCTTCTTACAGTTTATACATATCTATAGTTGTCGCCTTTATAAAAGCTTTCTTTGCATTTTTTTTGTACATAAATCTTGTCCGGCGATTCCCATTAACAAATGTAGGGAATTATAGGTGTCTTATGGCTGATGAAGGGCTCTTGATCCTAGGAAGTTCAGTTGAAATATTCATTGTATTGGATCTAATTGCATTTCAATTTCCAGGCTTTGTTACCTTTTTGAGTTTTGCGATTCCCCAATAATAACAGTAATAATAATAACTGCAATACTACTACTACTACTACTACTAATACTACTACTACTACTACTACTACTACTACTACTAATACTACTACTACTACTACTACTAATAATAATAATAATAATGATAACTATAACAACAACAATAATAATAAAAATAATGATAATATTAATAATAATATATTATTATTTTTATTATTATATATTATTATTATTATTTTTATTATATATTTTTTATTATATATTATTATTATTTTTATTATTATAACAGGAAATTAATCATTTTCCTTTGACAAAAACTTGAAATGTATGTATTTCTTCCTCCAAAAGATGAGATATAAACTGAACAACTTTGGTCATCAATGCTTATTGCTCAGTTCTGTTAATCTGTTAAAATTTTTAAATATTATTATTATTATTATTATCTTTTGGAGGAAGAAATACATACATTTCAAGTTTTTGCCATGGGAAAAGGGTTAATTTCCTGTTATAATTTGCCTTATTTTTTAGTTAAACATAATTAAATCATGCGTTGTGGCGTGCTGATGGTGCTTTGCTAAACATTAAAAATGAGGAAATTTCTCCTGACAAAAGTCTTGGTCATATGGGTCTTAGATCCGGCGTGTTTACTTTTGCGAATTGTCCAGTCTATTTCCAGTTCGGGTATGTTTATTTATGTACCTGTCCAGTTCTGACTTTTTTACCGACATCTCTGGTCCAGTTTTGGCATGTTTACTAGTGTCCCTTGTCCAGTTATCACATGTTTACCTATGGTTTTTATCCACTTTTGACATGTTTACTGATGTCCCACGTACAATTGTGGCTCAGGTGCTCTCAAAATGTTTTCCCTTGCACTCTATCATGTTGTCCACAACACTAATCTTCATCCTCGTGGTTTCCTGTTTTGTTGAGGCTCAACATACAGATGTGCTTGCGGGCGCACTTGCTGGGGCAACACTTTTGTTCCTGGGAGCAATACCCATCAGAGGCGCAATTGGGCTGCTGCTTACCCTCTCCTGATACTAACTGAACTGTGCCTGAAGTCTTGGCCACCTACGAATATAAAACACTGGGTTAATAATGTTCCACTGAAGGAAATAAGAAAAAAGTTACAAATGTTCTTCAAGAGAATTTCGTGACTAGCACACAGTGGTTGATAAAGGAGAAAAGGAAACATAACTGTACATGAGATGTTAAAAATAATTTGAAAGAACTGACAACGTATAGCTAATAACCAGATCAACTGATGGAACAAGGGACAATAATTGTAAACTAGAAAAGAAAAGATGTCGAAAGAGACCTTTCTCCGATGGCTCACTCAATTAAGCAACCATTGTCTTTCCGTATACCTGTAATCACCGGCTGCTGGCTGATTACTGTTTTATATTCTTGGTTAAGCATCCGTTGACTTACCTGTGATTTATGCTCGTATCTGAGCATCCGCTTGTTTATCCTTGACTTATATTCGTAGTTAAACATCCGCTGGCGTTTCGGAGATAGTTTTCTATCGCATTTAAGAAGCAAAGGATAGTATCCTAGAATAACATTACGGTCTGAAGATGGTAGGTAAGTGTTACAAGGCTCTAGGAGGAGGAAAGATGGATAATTGCTTAAGGAACGGGAAACAGTGGAAAATGGTATGGCATGAGGTCCAAGGGTGGAGAGAGTTGGTAGGAGTGGTTACGGGTAAAGTTTGTGTGGAGTTGTTAGGGAGGTAAAGGACTAATGGGACAGAAACGTAGGGAAGTATGGGGCTGTAGAACGATGGGGTGAGGAATCGGTAGAATGAGCGGTCAGCGAGGACTGGACTTAACTGCCTTTCATTCTTATAACTTAAAAAATATCCTTCTGAATTTTTTTAAGCTTTTTTTTGTGTCTTCACTTTCTTGTGACTGATGTGAGAGATTCTTGTTTTAGGTTTTGGATTGCTGTATCTGCCTTTCTCTTATTTATAAATTATCTGATTCTTTTCCGATTTTGTTTGTATTGTCTTCATCTGTATATACGTGACAGTACCTCATTGTTCATTGTTCATTCTTCTGCTGTAATTGATGCCTTCAAAAGTAGTCTAATTGGTCTGCTCTGTCTCTAGGTACATGCACCAATTGTTCTAGTATCCTGTAACTTGATATATTTCAGTTCTGTCACTATATTATATACCGGTAACCCGGGCAACAAAAGGCAAGCGAGTATAATAATACGTAGCGCAGAATAAACTTTTATTCTAGAAGACTTTTCGCTTAGGACAAAGATCAGTTATGAGGGAAGTGTTTAAAATAATATCTTGTTCTACAGTATGTACCTATATTTATTTTTATTTTATCACCTCCACTATTTCATTCTCCTCCTGTAGTTAGGATGAGATATAAGGAACTATTAGCAGAAAGATGGGCTAGTGAGAATTTAGGTACTGCGGGGGTTGAAGAGGTGTGGGATAGTTTAGAAAATGATTTGCTAGAATATGGGGCATAAGTTTGCGGATGTAGGAGGATGAGTGTGGAAGGGAAGAAGAATAATGGACGGAATATGAATAATTAGGCAAACAGGATGATAAGGGAGAAAAAAGTTTGCGTATGAGAGGTTTTTACAAGCAGCAGTGATATTACGAAGGGTGAAGTACATGGAGAATAAAAGAAAGGTGATGAGAGTAGTGATAGTATGTAAAAGGAGAGTAAATAATGAAGTAGGTGAGGTGTTGTCAACAAATTTTGATGAGAAAAAGAAAACGTTTTGGAATGAGATAAATAGGTTGAGGCAGCCTAGGGAACAAATGGATTTGACAGTTAAAAACAGAATAGGGGAGTTAGTAGATGCAGATATTGAGAATATGGTAGGAATATTTTGAAGAGAGGGAGGCAGTGATTTCATATATTTGCTTTGGAGATATAACATCTTTTAGAAATAAAGAAAAGCCAGATGTTCGTTAGATATTCCTTTATTTATTTTAGCATTTTTTCTATTATTATTATAATCAAGAGGGAAGCGCTAAACCCGGAGGATTATACAGCGCCTGGGGGGGGGAGGATGTGGAAGGCATTCAGGCTTAATTCGGGGAACTGGAGCACAGATCCAATTCCCTAAATCAAGAGCCCCTCACCAACATCAAGGAACCTTCCTTGAGGGGAGCATTTTTTTTTTTTTTTTTTTTTTTTTTTTTTTTTTTTAATATCCCTGCATGACCCTTCTGGTTTCTCAATCAGTCTCATGTATTTTATCCTTCAAGAAGGTGCTATATACTCATGTGTGTCATAACATCAAAAGTGTATAATTACGACATGTTGAAGAATTAGGCAACTGATCAACAACTGGGTTTCTTTATTATGGAGACGTTTTACTAACCAATAATTTTATCAGTCTTCTGTTGTTTGTCATTGTATTATATTGATATAGCAACTGGTTGGCGAAACGTCCACCATAATAAATATACCCAGTTATTACATGTGTCTAATTCGTCAACTCATTTGTGTCCTGTATTGATACCCGTTAATATGTAGCTGAAACTGAGCAAGCTCGTAAAGTAATAATGTCCTTACCTATATCTGTGTATGTTACCTGTATCGAAGTGACTCATCTCTAAGTGTTTTAGCAACCTTTTTCTGAATATATTGTCTATTTCTTTGGGAGTAAATATGTCAGTGAAAGTGAGCTTTAAATAATTAAGAGCCTCTTACCGTCTGCTCTTATCATGGATTCACTGAAACCATCTACTCAATTTTTTAGTATCAATAGGGATATGTTGGTTTGGTGTTGCCAATTCTCTAAGTAGTTTTATCAGTTCCTCCTTGTCGTTCAGTTTTTCCATTCCTCTTCCCCCTCCCATTTTATGCTTTCACTGTTCCTACTTCCTCAATATGTAACAAGATCACAGTAAACAGTTGATATTACAGTTTGCGAAATAGTGAAATTTCCAAGCGCGTTCGTGATTTTTCACATGTAAAAATAAAAGATTTGCTTGTATGATTAATCAGGAACTGCGCCGTGACACGGGTCTTAATCCTAAGATAATCCGTCTGAGGATTGCGAAGGAGATGTCGATCTAATTCAGCGTTCTATAACCGTAATCAGGATCTTGCTGTAATCCCTGTGCGTTAAACTGCAAAACATTTTATGGTCAACAGCGTGCTGAGGCCATCAGCTCTTTATCATTGTCTCTGGGTCTTGTGTTGGGTGGTAGAGTAAATTTACAAATAAACGCATAGGCTATTTTGTTCATCATGCAGCAGAATTATAAGGCTGAGAAATCCCCTCACATACGACAATTCCCTCGTCCCATTTTAACAATTCCTCGACCATCCCGCCCACATCATAATGAGACGGATATAATATCGTATGTGAGGTGGTATCTCAGCCTTATAGGTCTTGTGCTATTTTATTATCTTTACAGGTCCTTGATAATGTGAGAAATCACGATAGCACTTGGAATTTTACTATTCCAAGTATATATATCTATATATATATATATGTCGTGCCGAATAGGCAGAACTTGCGATCTTGGCTTAAATAGCAACGCTCATCTTGCCATATAGGACAAGCGAAAATTTGTGTATGCAATAATTTCGCCAAAATCATTCTGAACCTAACGAAAAAAATATATTTCACTGTGTTTGTTTAGTATTAAATTATTGTAAACAAATCTAAAATATATTTAGTTGGATTAGGCTAAAATAAATTGCACTTGTTATAATAAGGTTAGGTAAGTTTTCTAAGATTCTTTTGGTGCAAAATTATAATTTTTTACATTAACATTAATGAAAAAATATATCTTTAAACGTATAAGAGAAAATTTTAGAAAGGACTTAATTTTAAATGAGTTCTTGCTAATTGACCAGTTTTACATATTCGGCACGACATATTTATATATATATATATATATATATAATATAATAAATATTATATATATATATATATATATATATATAGGACATATTGTGGTGTGGACGCCTCTGAGCTAATTTCACTCTACTCCCTGTTTGTGTACTAGCTCAACATGCAGTATATTATATTATTGTACCCACGAAGCAAGTGGTATTGATCAATAACAGTACTGGTGGGTACAACATCTAGCTTTGCTGGATGCAACATTGTTAAGGATTGTGTGGTCTAGTGGTCTAAAGCGTCATGCGTTTTCTCTCACCATGAGCAGGGCCAAAACGGCATGGGTTCGACTCTTTCGCTAGTGCAGTGTTGTTATTGAACAATACCACTTGTTCCGTGGGTACAATAATATGTATATATATATATATATATATATATATATATATATATATAACACATCGGCCGATTCCCACCAAGACAGGGTGCCCCGAAAATGCAAAAAACTTTCATCATCATTCACTCCATCACTGTCTTGCCAGAGGGGTGCTTTACACTACAGTCATAGAACTGCACCATTATCACCCCCTTCTTCAGAGTGTAGACACTGCACTTTTCATCTCCAGGACTCACGTCCGGCCTGCCGGTTTCCCTGAATCCCTTCATAAATGTTATTTTGCTCACACTCCAACAGCACGTCAAGTATTAAAAAACATTTGTCTCCATTCACTCCTATCAAATACGCTCACGCATGCTTGCTGGAAGTCCAAGCCCTTCGCACTAAAAACCTCCTTTACCCCCTCCCTCCAACCCTTCCTAGGTCGACCCATACCCCGCCTTCCCTCCACTACAGATTTATACACTCTCGAAGTCATTTTGGTTTGTTCCATCCTCTCTACATGTCCGAACCACCTCAACAACCCCTCCTCAGCCCTCTGTATAATAGTTTTGGTAATCCCACACCTTTTCCTAATTTCAAAACTACGAATTCTCTGCATTATATTCACACCACACATTGCCCTCAGACATGACATCTCCACTGCCTCCAGCCTTCTCCACGTTGCAACATTCATCACCCATGCTTCACATCCATACAAGAGTGTTGGTAAAACTATACTCTCATACATTCCCCTCTTTGCTTCCACGGACAAAGTTCTTTGTCTCCAAAGACTCCTAAGTGCACCACTCAACCTTTTCCCCTCATCAGTTCTATGATTCACCTCATCCTTCATAGACCCACCTGCTGACACATACACTCCTAAATATCTGAATACATTCACCTCCTCCATATTCTCTCCCTCCAATCTGATATCCAATCTTTCGTCACCTAATCTTTTAGTTATCCACGTAACCTTACTCTTTCCTATATTCACTTTTAATTTTCTTCTTTTACATGCCCTACCAAATTCATCCACCAACCTCTGCAACACACGCCCTACCTTTCCTAAAGCCTCCTTGTTCATCTGCTATCCTACTCTCTGTGTTACTCTTAATTCTTTCAATAATAACTCTGCCATACACTTTACCAGGTATACTCAACAGACTTATTCCTCTATAATTTTTGCACTATCTTTTATCCCCTTTGCCTTTATACAAAGGAAATATGCGTGCTCTCTGCCCATCCCTAGGTACCTTACCCTCTTCCATACATTTATTAAATAGCACAAACCACTCCAAAACTATATCCCCTCCTGCTTTTAACATATCTTAATCCAATCAATCCCAGCTGCCTTACCCCCTTTCATTTTACCTACTGCCTCACGAACTTCCCCCACACTCAAAACTGGCTCTTCCTCACTCATACAAGATGTTATTCCTCCTTGCCCTATACACGAAATCACAGCTTCCCTATCTTCATCAACATTTAACAATTCCTCAAAATATTCCCTCCATCTTCCCGATATAATTATATGTCTCTATATATATATATATATATATATATATATATATATATATATATATATATATATATATATATATATATATATATATATATATATACATACGTATATGTAGTGCCTAATAAGCCGAACTTGTCAAACTTTCCTAAAAATTGAACTTTTCCAAATAAATTATCTTACAAAATCATAGATAATTTTTTTTCATTGAGAAAAATATAAATGGTTTTATTTCTGGCCCAAAAGTAACTTAGAAACCCCACGTAACCTCCCTTAAATAAATAGGTTCATGCCTATACGTTAGGCAAGTGAAGAATTCCCTGTATCAAGATCCCAAGATGTTGTGTTTGACAGGAATGATGAAAAATGATTCAGAGAACCGACATGTCGATAAACTGAGGGACTGATTACATCGACTCCAGGCTGAGGGACTGATTACCTACATCTCCTTCTTCTTTTCACAATAAATATACTCAAGTGTTGCACATGAGTCTAATGTATCGACTTGTCGGTTCTCTGACCTTTTATTTACATTCCTGTCAGACACAGCAACATATCAGGTTCTTGATGCAGAGAATTCTACGCCTGTCTACCTATAGGCATGAACTACTACCACCAGTGGATTTGTTGAAGGTGACACCGCTTACGGCTGCTTCACCTCACCTATCTGCAGAATATAAGCCATATCTTTGTTCTTCTTTGTGTTGAACTGAGGAAACCATTGTGCGGCGAAACGTTTCCACAATAAAGATACCCAAGTGTTGCATATGTGTCTAATTTATCAACTTGTCGGTTCTCTGAACCGTTTATCTATATTAACTAGTTACTAGTTAATGACCAAAGTCGGACCGAAACGAAGTCATAAGTTCATTCTCGTGTGCGTGAGCTATTTGTGTATTACCACAACTACTTCGCCAGATGGGCAATTGTCACACCTTGCGTCATTTTGTACTGGAATGCGATAACAATAATGAATTCAGAGACAACTCACTCAGAAATGGTCAAGAAATGTCGAAGCATTTTATCCATAGTGTAACTACATATAGTAAACTGATCATTTTGCGATATTATACATTGTAAGGCTACAAATTTGTACAGCTATAATACTTCAAAATTGAAATGTTCAAATTTCATTGTTTAAAATACTCAATTGTAGTTCAAATTGTAAATTGTTTTCCGTAATTTTTACCAATGAATCTATCATAGCTTAGTTTATCTTAAGTTAATTTTAAGCCTGCCCATAATGCTCTGCATACAAAGGGCTTTTGATATGTACATCCAACGCTATAATTCCTTGTACAAGTATGTATCATGTCCAAATAAACTATTATTATTATTATTATTATTATTATTATTATTATTATTATTATTTTATTTTATTATTATTATTAAAATACCCTGACTTTGTCCACTGTAAATAACGCATTACCACTTATTTTTCGTATGTGTATGACCTAATTCATGTCTGCATAAATAACTCATTACGATTTTCACTAGATATAAACATGCATTATCACTGTAACTTGTTCAGCTATTAAAAAATTGCGGCTATTAAAACTACCGCCTACATTGTGGATATGGGACCCATAATAAGGACATTAAACTAAAAAACTGCTACTACTACCACTACTACTACTACTACTACTACTACTACTACTACTAACTACTACTACTATTGCTGCTACTATTAAAATAAGAAAATAAAAACTATATAATAATAAGGGTAAACTACAGTGAAATAATTTTGGGAGATGCAGCATGCAGTACTTGACTGAGGCAGCTAATGAGCTGTTAAACTAACTGACCTCGCCTATCCCGAGGATGGCAGCTACTGGCGTCACCTGACATCCTGATGATAGAAGCTACTAACTTTTGCAGCAATTTTAGAATAATATGACTTCCACCTGACGCTTCGAGTTTTATCACTTCCCTGATTGGATGCCGCAGATATTAGATGATTTTATTAGCTAGAATGTTTTTTTCAAACGAAGTGTTTGTAGTGCAAAACTTAGAGTTTTCACAGGAAGAATTCATGCAATGACACGAAGGTGATGTTGGTTTTGATTATGATGGATCGGACGTGAATAATATGATGAATTTTTTATGGTAGAATCTCAGTTGAAACTTTGTTGCTTTGTTCTTTAAGCTAATAGCTTACTGAATAATTATTATTGCAACTATAAATGGTGCAACTGTGTGTGTGTTCAGTGTCCGATGTTAGAACCTCATAAGCCCTTAAGACGTACTTTGTTTACTACCGAATTTTTCTCGGCAAACCTGGACTTACATGAACTTGTCTCGAAACACCTGAAAACTTATAGAGACACATATGAACCTGTCTTGAAAAACATGGTTTTACAGCGATGTATACGTGCATATTGAACACTCTTTCAAATACATACGTATTTGAAGCCAAGCACATGCAAATACACTTACCTTTGCCTTTTTTATTGCAAGGAAGATGCCAGAGCTCTTGCACACCTGCTCTTCTTCCTCAGGACACCGACCGTCATGAGGGTCATGGTTCGGTGGTACTGAAATTTAGGAAAGGATCTATATTTTCTTGTTCTTATTTGATATTACAGACTAGGTGTTCTTGTTGCAGTGTTGTGCATGTCGTAGCAGGAGGTGGAGTAGGATCGGGGGTTGTGTCAGTGAAGGAGCACGTGGGTGTTCTGGTGCTGACAGTGAGGAAATATGATGTATGATGCATGTGTTAGTATGGTGTATGATGCATGTGCTAGTATGGTGTATGATGCATGTGTTAGTATGGCGTATGATGCATGTGTTAGTATGGTGTATGCTGTGCGAGTTAGTATGGCGTATGATGCACGTGCTAGTATGGTGTATAATGTATGTGTTAGTATGGCGTATAACGCATGTATTAGTATTGTAATAGTGTGTATGACGTATGTGTTGTTATTATGGTGAACACGGCAGAGACTCGTCATCACTGCCTATTGCAGTGTTCCTGGCCTGCTGCAGTGTTGCTGGCCTGCTGCAGTGTTCCCGGCCTGCTGCAGTGTTGCTGGCCTGCTGCAGTGTTCCTGGCCTGCTGCAGTGTTGCTGGCCTGCTGCAGTGTTCCCGGCCTGCTGCAGTGTTCCCTGGCCTGCTGCAGTGTTCCTGGCCTGCTGCAGTGTTGCTGGCCTGCTGCAGTGTTCCTGGCCTGCTGCAGTGTTCCTGGCCTGCTGCAGTGTTCCTGGCCTGCTGCAGTGTTCCTGGCCTGCTGCAGTGTTCCTGGCCTGCTGCAGTGTTGCTGGCCTGCTGCAGTGTTGCTGGCCTGTACAGTGTTCCTGGCCTGCTACAGTGTTCCTGCCTGCTGCAGTGTTGCTGGCCTGCTGCAGTGTTGCTGGCCTGCTACAGTGTTGCTGGCCTGCTACAGTGTTCCTGGCTTGCTGCAGTGTTCCTGCCTGCTGCAGTGTTGCTGGCCTGCTACAGTGTTGCTGGCCTGCTACAGTGTTCCTGGCTTGCTGCAGTGTTCCTGCCTGCTACAGTGTTGCTGGCCTGCTGCAGTGTTCCTGCCTGCTGCAGTGTTACTGGCCTGCTACAGTGTTCCTGGCTTGCTGCAGTGTTCCTGCCTGCTGCAGTGCTCCTGCCTGCTGCAGTGTTGCTGGCCTGCTGCAGTGTTGCTGGCCTGCTGCAGTGTTGCTGGCCTTCTGCAGTGTTGCTGCCTGCTGCAGTGTTGCTGGCCTGCTGCAGTGTTGCTGGCCTGCTGCAGTGTTCGTACTTCCTTATGTTCTTATGTTAGTGGGATGGATTGTGAAGGACCTGCCTAGTATGGGCCAACAGGTCTACTACAGTGTTCTTCTTTTCTTATGTTCTTAATTAAATCGCACATTCAGCTTTCTATGATTCTTCAACGTAAACTTTACCACAGCTGATACTAGCTATAATGTACACTATCTCTATATGGTTGATGATTGTATTGCCTCAATATCCACGTGGTAAGTGTACTTCCGTGGGAATTTAATGGCTGAAGCAGCTGACTCGTATAACTATTGTGTGGATACATCAGCAAATTAGAAAATATTTGCTGCCACCCTGACATTCCCGGTGAAAACTCCCTTCCGTCCCTTCCCTTCAACTGTTAGAAACATTTCAATGACTTTATTACACGCGTTCTTTATTTCAATCAAATATATGATATTAATTGTGAAGAATTCATTGACGATGTCAGATTTAAACCAAGCCATTTTGTTTATGCTAAGCTCACATTTATATGCAAAATATGAACAATTTGATACTGGTAAGCATTCTTTAATATCATGGTTAGATTGATATAGACACAACACTAGATATGAGAAACTAAATAACACAATCAGTGAAATTTAACAGTTCGCATAAAACAGCGAGTCATCATTTTCCTCCACTTAAATTTCACTCTTACCTTCCCATATGTTGTATATATATATATATATATATATATATATATATTATATATATATATATATATATATATATATATATATATATATATATATATATATATATATATATACCACTGTTAAAGAATAGTGAAATTCCAAGCGCATTCGTGACTTCTCACAATATCAAGGAACTATAGTTCTATAGTTCCTTTTCGCCTCATCTGACTGCAGTATATAAACCACTTCTACGGTCCTATGCTGTACTTTCTACAAGATTGATGTACTGAACACATCGACTCCAGGCTGAGGGACTGATTACCTCAAACTCCTCCTCTCCTTACACCCTTCTGATTTGTATTGGACCGATGAAGCCACTATGTGGCGAAACGTTTCTTCAATAACGAGTCTCATATGTTGCATAAGTGTCGCAGTCTTCATCTTGTCGGTTTTAAACCATTTATCACAACTTCTCGTTATGATACTGCCCCGAGCTTACTAGTGAGACACCAGCAGTTTCTCACGCGCCATCATTCTACAAACAAGGTCATACAGGCCAATTGTTCCCACACATTCTTTTCTCAGTGATTAATATATTTTATGATATACCCTTTTGTATCCCCCACTTGGTAGATGAGGTAGAAGGTGTAGAGGGTTAAGCAGGAGAGGGTTTAGAATCAATCAGTGGTGGAAAAGGAGAAGGCTAAAGGGTGAGAACAAGGTAGATGGAATAGAAATAAGGCATATTGTGGGTAGTGTTGGTAGAGAGTCTGGTTGGAGGCTGACAGAGTATGGTGGAGTGGTAGACGGAAATATGGGGATTATGCAGAATTGGGAAGTGTATGGACAGTAAACAGATGGGTTATGTGGGAAGGTAGAGGAAATAAAAGTGATAAACCAAAGGTATAATATGGGGAAGATAGAGTAATAGATGAGAGGGATGAGTGAGGTAGAGGCGTGAGGAGTAAGGAGATGAAGCAAGATTAAGTGATGGGGCATGGTTGATATGATGGGGCAGAGATGAAGTGATGGGACAGGGTTGACGTGATGTGCTGAGAAGAGATGATGGGACAGCAGTAAGGTGATGGGACAAGGGTGAAGTGAAGATCAGAAGTAAAATGACTGGGCATGGGTGATGACGAATGGTTGAGGTGATTGAGCAGAGAAGTGATAGAGCAGAGGTGTAGTGATGAGCAAGGGCAAGGTGAAGGATAGCGGCAAGGTAATAAGGAAGAAATGATATGATGGGTCAGAGAGTGAGAAATATGGCAGGGGTAAGATGATGAGGACGGAGAGGTAACGAGTCAGCGGTGAAGTGATGAGCAAGGAGTGAGGTGAAGGGGAAGGTGAGGGGTGACGAAGCGGGTGCGAGGTTATGAAGCAGGTATGAGGTACTGAAGCAGGTGTGAGGTGATGAAGCAGGTGTGAGATGATGAAGCAAGTGAGAGGTAATGAAGAAGGTGTGAGGTAATGAAGCAGGTGTGAGGTAATGAAGCAGGTGTGAGGTAATGAAACAGATATGAGGTGATGAAGCAGGTGTGAGGTGATGAAGCAAGTGTGAGGTGATGGAGCAAGTGTGAGGTGATGAAGTAAGTGTGAGGTAATGAAGCAGGTGTGAGGTGATGAAGCAGGTGTGAGGTGAAGAAGCAAATGTGAGGTGATGAAGCAGGTGTGAGGTGATGAGGCAGGTGTGAGTTGATGAAGCAAGTGTGAGGCAATGAAGAAAGTGTGAGGTAATGAAGCAGGTGTGAGGTGATGAAGCAAGTGTGAGGTAATGAAGCAAGTGTGAGGTAATGAAGCAGGTGTGAGGTGATGAAGCAAGTGTGAGGTAATAAAGCAAGTGTGAGGTGATGAAGCAAGTGTGAGGTAATGAAGCAGGTGTGAGGTGATGAAGCAAGTGTGAGGCAATGAAGAAAGTGTGAGGTAATGAAGCAGGTGTGAGGTGATGAAGCAAGTGTGAGGTAATGAAGCAAGTGTGAGGTAATGAAGCAGGTGTGAGGTGATGAAGCAAGTGTGAGGTAATAAAGCAAGTGTGAGGTGATGAAGCAAGTGTGAGGTAATGAAGCAGGTGTGAGGTGATGAAGCAAGTGTGAGGTAATGAAGCAAGTGTGAGTTGATGAAGCAAGTGTGAGGTAATGAAGCAAGTGTGAGGTGATGAAGCAGATGTGAGGTGATGAAGCAGGTGTGAGATAATGAAGCAGGTGTGAGGTAATGAAGCAAGTGTGAGGTAATGAAGCAAGTGTGAGGTGATGAAGCAAGTGTGAGGTAATGAAGCAAGTGTGAGGTAATGAAGCAGGTGTGAGGTGATGAAGCAAGTGTGAGGTAATAAAGCAAGTGTGAGGTGATGAAGCAAGTGTGAGGTAATGAAGCAGGTGTGAGGTGATGAAGCAAGTGTGAGGTAATGAAGCAAGTGTGAGGTGATGAAGAGTGTGAGAGGTAATGAAGCAAGTGTGAGGTGATGAAGCAGATGTGAGGTGATGAAGCAGGTGTGAGATAATGAAGCAGGTGTGAGGTAATGAAGCAAGTGTGAGGTGATGAAGCAAGTGTGAGGTAATGAAGCAAGTGTGAGGTGATGAAGCAAGTGTGAGGTAATGAAGCAAGTGTGAGGCAATGAAGCAAGTGTGAGGTGATGAAGCACGTGTGAGGTGATGAAGCAGGTGTGAGGTGATGAAGCAAGTGTGAGATATGAAGCAGGTATGAGGTGATGAAGTAGGCTGAGGTGATGAAGCAAGTGTGAGTAATGAAGCAGGTATGAGGTGATGAAGCAAGTGTGAGATAATGAAGCAGGTATGAGGTGATGAAGTAGGCATGAGGTGATGAAGCAAGTGTGAGATAATGAAGCAGGTATGAGGTGATGAAGTAGGTGTGAGGTGATGAAGTAGGTGTGAGGTGATGAAGCAGGTGTGAGGTGATGAAGCAAGTGTGAGGTGATGAAGCAGGTGTGAGGTGATGAAGTAGGTGTGAGGTGATGAAGTAGGGGTGAGGTGATGAAGCAAGTGTGAGGTATGAAGTAGGTGTGAGGTGATGAAGCAGGTGTGAGGTGATGAAGTAGGTGTGAGGTGATGAAGCAGGTGTGAGGTGATGAAGTAGGTGTGAGGTGATGAAGCAAGTGTGAGGTGATGAAGCAGGCGTGAGGTGATGAAGCAAGTGTGGGTGATGAAGCGGGTGTGAGGTGATGAAGCAAGTGTGAGGGAATGAAGCAAGTGTGAGGGATGAGTGTGAGTGTGAAGCAGGTGTGAGGTATAAGAAGTGTGTGAGGTGATGAAGCAAGTGTGAGGTAATGAAGCAGGTGTGAGGTGATGAAGCAAGTGTGAGGTAATGAAGCAAGTGTGAGTTGATGAAGCAAGTGTGAGGTAATGAAGCAAGTGTGAGGTGATGAAGCAGATGTGAGGGTGATGAAGCAGGTGTGAGGGATGAAGGTGTAGGTGATGAAGCAAAGGGGTGAGGTAATAAGCAAGTGTGAGGTGATGAAGCAAGTGTGAGGTAAAGAAGCAGGTGTGAGGTGATGAAGCAAGTGTGAGGTAATGAAGCAAGTGTGAGGTTGATGAAGCAAGTGTGAGGTATGAAAACAAGTGTGAGGTGATGAAGCAGATGTGAGGTGATGAAGCAGTGTGAGGATAATGAAGCAGGTGTGAGGTAATGAAGCAAGTGTGAGGTGATGAAGCAGTGTGAGGTAATGAAGCAAGTGTGAGGTGATGAAGCAAGTGTGAGGTAAAGAAGCAAGTGTGAGGCATGAAGCAAGTGTGAGGTGATGAAGCACGTGTGAGGTGATGAAGCAGGTGTGAGGTGATGAAGCAGGTGTGAGGTGATGAAGCAAGTGTGAGATATGAAGCAGGTATGAGGTTATGAAGTAGGTGTGAGGTGATGAAGCAAGTGTGAGATAATGAAGCAGGTATGAGGTGATGAAGTAGGTGTGAGGTGATGAACTAGGTGTGAGGTGATGAAGCAGGTGTGAGGTGATGAAGCAAGTGTGAGGTGATGAAGCAGGTGTCAGGTGATGAAGTAGGTGTGAGTGAAGAAGTAGGTGTGAGGTGATGAAGCAAGTGTGAGGTGATGAAGTAGGTGTGAGGATGAAGAGGTGTAGAGTGATGAAGTAGGTGTGAGGTGATGAAGCAAGTGTGAGGATGATGAAGCAGTGTGAGGTGATGAAGCAGTGTGAGGTGATGAAGCAAGTGTGAGGTTTATAAGCAGGTGTGAGGTGATGAAGCAAGTGTGAGGTGATGAAGCAAGTGTGAGGTGATGAAGCAAGGGGTGAGGTGATAAAGCAAGTATGAGGTGATAAAGCAGGTAGAGGTGATGAAGCGGTGTGAGGTGATGAAGCAGTGTGAGTGATGAAGCAGTGTGAGGTGATAAAGCAGGTGTGAGGTGATGAAGCAAGTGTGAGGTGATGAAGCAAGTGTGAGGTGATGAAGCAAGTGTGAGGTGATAAAGCAAGTGTGAAGTGATAAAGCAGGTATGAGGTGATGAAGTAGGTGTGAGGTGATGAAGCAAGTGTGAGGTAATGAAGCAAGTGTGAGGGGATGAAGCAGGTGTGAGGTGATGAAGTAGGTGTGAGGTGATAAGCAGATGTGAGGTGATGACAAAGTTTGAGGTGATGAAGCAGCTGAGGAGAAGCAGGCGTGAGGTGATGAAGCAAGTGTTGAGGTGATAAAGCAGGTGTGAGGTGATGAAGCAAGTGTGAGGTGATGAAGCAGGCGTGAGGTGATGAAGCAAGTGTGAGGTGATGAGCAGGTGTAGGTGATGAAGCAAGTGTGAGGTGATAAAGCAGGTGTGAGGTGATGAAGCAAGTGTGAGGTGATGAAGCAGGCGTGAGGTGATGAAGCAAGTGTGAGGTGATAAAGCAGGTGTGAGGTGATGAAGCAAGTGTGAGGTGATAAAGCAGGTGTGAGGTGATGAAGTAAGTGTGAGGTGATAAAGCAGGTGTGAGGTGATGAAGTAAGTGTGAGGTGATAAAGCAGGTGTGAGGTGATGAAGCAGGCGTGAGGTGATGAAGTGGGTGTGAGGTCAAGGGAAAGGAGTTAAATACTTACTAGGCATGGAAGTATCTGCACAACAATAGACATCACTATCGTAGACACAGTAGTAGTAGCAGTTACTGGGGGAACCTGCTGGTCAGAGATCTTCATTAACTCTTCTGTATACATTAACTTCTGCAGGGTTACCTTCATGCTGGTAAACTTCTCATAATCTACGCAGTTGGAGTTACTCTACTCTTCTTTAATTCAACTCTGATTACAATCCATTCCTTAATATCTATATAACCCCAACGAGTTTAGCGCATTAACATAAACATAATAATTATTATATATATTCAATGCACGCGAATCGCATAATGCAGAATACAGCATAAGTTTCTTAATTAAGACATAAACACACCATATCTAATTCAAACCTTATCAAGAGACCAAAGAGACCTGTATAATTAAATGCAATAGCGCATTAAACTTCAAGACGCTCAGAAGTTGCATTATCAAGTTGTCATAATGGAAGATTGACGCTGATTGATGCATCACTCAGAAATTAATGCATGAAGAACAGTGTTTAAAATTTACAAATTTATACTGATAAGAAAAAAGCAAACTGGGACCTACCCAGGCCAGACTCAGTCCACACTTTTCTCTAAGTAAGATTCACCAGAGTTTAAGTAATTTCAAAAGTAAGTGGGTCAGTAAGTAGGTAAGTAAGAAGGATAAGAACAAAGTAAGTTTTAAAACTTTGGGAACACAAGTGTTCTTGTCCTATGAAAGTACATAATATAGATTTAATAACTAGTGAAGAATAACCAAGTGAAGTTAAACACTTGACTTATTTATAATCAGAAAAGACATTTTCCAGTTATTTCACATAAATCAATTTGATTAATAAGATTAACACTTAAAAACTTATTAAAAGTAAAATTAAGATGACGCTTCCTTAAGAAAAGCATAAAAGCACTAAGAAATTAAAGGTAACTTCGAGAAACTTCCTCTATCTATTGCAACAATGAAGCCCAAAGCAAAGAAATCTTTCGTCTTTTTTATATTATAAATCAACCATTAAAAATTAATATCGTTCACAATTGTTTTATTTTTAATCAGGGAAAAACGGTAAACCAGTAAGGGTCATATAACTCTTGAAGAATACGAATCATTCAGATTCGATCCAAGGAAGGGGAGGATAAGTCTAGTTCCTCGGATCAGAAGACCCCTCTCTTTCACAAAGACAAAATAATGCAATAGCGTAAAACAAAACTTACACTATTTTGAGATTAAAAGTGACAAAACAGTCCCTATAAACATAATACATTAATAAAATTAACCATGTTCTAAATATCTTACACACACACAGTAGAGCTACAAGTGGAGGGGGAAGCAGGAAGGCCAGGGCAAATAAAGCCAAACTGCAAGAAAGGGGACTACACGGGAATGAGGAACTTCCTGAACGGGGTTCAGTGGGACAGAGAACTGGCAGGGAAGCCAGTTAATGAGATGATGGAATATGTAGCAACAATGTGCAAGAAGGCTGAGGAGAGGTTTGTACCCAAGGGTAACAGGAATAATGAAAAAGCCGGGATGTGCCCATGGTTCACCCAAAGGTGCAGGGAGGCAAAAAAAAACAAATGTGCTACGGAATGGAAGAAGTATAGAAGGCAAAGGACCCAGGAGAATAAGGAGAGCAGTCGTAGAGCCAGAAATGAATATGCACCGATAAGAAGAGAGACCCAACGACAATATGAAAACAACACAGCAGCGAAAGCCAAATCTGACCCGAAGCTGCTACACAGCCACATCAGGAAGAAAACAACAGTCAAGGACCAGGTAATCAGGCTAAGGAAGGAAGGAGGAGAGACAACAAGAAACGACCGTGATGTGAGGAACTCAACATGAGATTCAAAGAAGTGTTCACAGAGGAGACAGAAGGGGCTCCAGAAAGACGGAGATGTGGGGCACACCACCAAGTGCTAGACACAGTACACACAACCGAGGAAGAAGTGAAGAGGCTTCTGAGTGAGCTAGATACCTCAAAGGCAATGGGGCCGGATAACATCTCTCCATGGGTCCTGAGAGAGGGAGCAGAGGCGCTATGTGTACCCCTAACAACAATATTCAATACATCTATCGAAACAGGGAGAGTGCCTGAGGCATGATAGACAGCAAATGTAGTCCCAATTTTTAAAAAAGGAGACAGACATAAAGCACTAAACAACAGATTAGTGTCACTGACATGTATAGTATGCAAAGTCATGGAGAAGATTATCAGGAGAAAAGTGGTGGAACACCTAGAAAGGAATGATCTCACCAACAGCAGCCAACATGGTTTCAGGGACGGGAAATCCTGTGTCACAAACCTACTGGAGTTCTATGACATGGTGACAGCAGTAAGACAAGAGAGAGAGGGGTGGGCGGATTGCATTTTCTTGGACTGTAAGAAGGCGTTTGACACAGTTCCACACAAGAGATTAGTGCAAAAACTGGAGGACCAGGCAGGGATAACAGGGAAGGCACTACAATGGATCAGGGAATACATATCAGGAAGACAGCAGCGAGTCATGGTACGTGGCGAGGTGTCAGAGTGGGCGCCAGTAACCAGCGGTGTCCCACAGGAGTCAGTCCTACGACCAGTGCTGTTTCTGGTATTTGTGAACTACATGACAGAAGGAATAGACTCCGAAGTGTCCCTGTTTTCAGATGACGTGAAGTTGATGAGAAGAATTCACTCGGTCTAAGACCAGGCAGAACTACAAAGGGATCTGGACAGGCTGCAGACCTGGTCCAGTAATTGACTCCTGGAGTTCAATCCCACCAAGTGCAAAGTCATGAAGATTGGGGAAGGGCAAAGAAGACCGCAGACGAAGTACAGTCTATTTGGCCAGAGACTACAAACCTCATTCAAGGAAATATTTGGCCAGAGACTACAAACCTCATTCAAGGAAAAAGATCTTGGGGTGAGTATAACACCAGGCACAGCTGAGGCACACATCAACCAAATAACTGCTGCAGCATATGGCCGCCTAGCAAACCTCAGAACAGCATTCTGACATCTTAATAAGGAATCGTTCAGGACCATGTACACCGTGTACGTTAGGCCCATATTGGAGTATGCGGCACCAGTTTGAAACACACACCCAGCCAAGCACGTAAAGAAACTAGAGAAAGTGCAAAGGTTTGCAACAAGACTAGTCCCAAAGCTAAGAGGTATGTCCTACGAGGAGAGGTTAAGGGAAATCGACCTGACGACACTGGAGTACAGGAGAAATAGGGGAGACATGATAACGACATACAAAATACTGAGAGGAATTGACAAGGTGGACAAAGACAGAATGTTCAAGAGATGGGACACAGCAACAATGGGACATAGTTGGAAGTTGAGGACACAGATGAACCACAGGGATGTTAGGAAGTATTTCTTCAGCCACAGAGTAGTCAGGAAATGGAATAGTTTGGGAAACGATGTAGTGGAAGCAGGATCCATACATAGCTTTAAGCAGATGTATGATAAAGCTCACGGTTCAGGGAGAGTGACCTAGAAGCGACCAGTAAAGAGGCGGGGGCCAAGAGCTAGGACTCGACCCCTGCAACCTCAACTAGGTGAGAACAACTAGGTGAGTACACACACACACACACACACACACATGCAGTCGAAGTGTTGTTATTGATCAATACCACTCGTTCGTGGGCACAATAATATATATATATATATATATATATATATATATATATATATATATATATATATATATATATATATATATATATACATGCATACATATATACATATATCAAACAATCGTAGGCAGGCGATCTTTATTTTGCTAGACAAGCCACAGGGCGTGGAAATCTTTACCTCAAGTACTTTCATACTTCTCAATGCATCATCAGGTGCTATGCAAAGGTGCAAGACCGCAGCTGAATGAGTGAAAAGTTTTCTCAGTGCGGGTTTGTCACCTGCCATAGCCTCTCTGGGTGCAGGTGACAAACCTGCATTCCGCTACTCTGAGAAAACTTCCCTAACTCCTTCAGCTATTGCCTTGCAACTTTGCATAGCTCCTGATGACCCACTGAGAAATGTGACGTACTTGAGCTAAAGATTTCCACCCCCGTGGCTTGTCTTGCGCATATATATATTATATATATATTATATATATATATATATATATATATATATATATATATATATATATTATATAATATATATATATTATATAATATATATATATATATATATATATATATATATATATATATATATTATATATAAAAGCTTGCCGGCGTGGAGGGAGGGAGCCAGTTTGTGGTGCTCCATACATTCTGTGTGGTTTACATGGGCCAGTTTCGGCATACATCATCGTGAGTATCCACCGGAGATTACAGAGTTGTGACAATCTTCTGTATCAGACCGTTGCTTCTGTATTAGTGAAAGTGCAGAGTACATGTTGGGATTTGGGAGTAGCGGTGGTGAGGGGATCCTGGCAGCAGTGATGTGGAGGAGGTTTTGTTTACCTCTGTGTCCGGCCGGGGTCGGGGGCTCTGGGAGGAAGTGGCCACTCACGACACCGTCATTGGATGGTGAACAGAAGAACACCTCGGTTAACAGTATGAGCATGGTGTTTAGTGTGCCAAATGGCGAGGGTTTTTTTCTAAATGGAACAATAAGTGTATAACAATTAGCAAAAGTTAGCCAGTGATGTGCATCTTGAGCGAACACACAGAGCCCCCCATCCCTGATCCCCTCCCCTCATCCCAGGATAGGCCCAGCCTAGGCCCACTGACTTGCTGACCAAGGGTGTTGCCGTTTAGTGTCCCACCAATTATAAGTCCCCCCCGCTCGCTACTCTCCCACCCTCATCCCCCATGCATCCCTGCTGTCCTTCACCCGTTACCCCACAGCTGGCGCCCTCCCACCCCCACGATATCAGCAATGTCACAAGTTGTCGAGGGTTCCCAAGAATCTTTACAACAGAGCCAAAGCCGTCGTTCACAAGGCATTTGCCGGGTGTGTTACAGGGAATGTGCACTCAGTCCCTCAACTGGCAACATCCGTGCACACAACGGATGTCTAGGCTCCAGGAGAGCTCCAAATGAGAACAACAAACAGCCCCTCCCAGCAGACAGCACTGACAGCTACC